ATTGTACTCTGCAAGTATATTAACGTGCTGTCATTCCATTGGACTACATTTAGGGTGGCCAGATTCTTACAGCAAAAATATCAGACACAGAGTGTTTGCTTGAGGGACCATGCTAGGAGACTGAGGTTGGTTTGGGGTAGAAGATGAGAAGAAATGATGGAGGTGGAGTCCTGAAAGAGTTAAAAGCAAGGGGGTCAGATCACAGAAAGAGAAGGTGAGCCATCTTGACATGATTCAACTAACACACTTACTTGTTAAAACCAGGAACTAGGTAATGTCAGGACATATACAATCATTTTCTAGTTGACAATGGAATGTGGCACATTCAGACATGCTGCCAGGCTATGGGGGGAAATGGGGCTGGGGGTTCAAATATAGGAAAACCCAGTACAATAGCAGGGCACTCTACTGTTAGGTTCTTTCAGAGTGGACACCACACTTGCTCAGTGCAATGGAAAGAACTAGACCTGGAGTCAGGGGACCTGAGTTCAAAACCTTCTTCTGCTTGTTCCTAGTGGGCAAATCACTTAACCTCTCTGGGCCTCATTTTCCTCATCTGTAAAGTGAATGGGTGGAACTAGATGACTTTTGAGGTCCCCTCCAGCTCTGAATGTATGATCCTATTCTATGCTCTAAAATAACAAGTACTTTTCCATAGTGTACAATACAGAACCAGCATGATGATGACTTTGGGACTAATCATTTATTGGATTTGATTTTGTTTTTCCCATTGTGCTGAGTAGGGGTCTTGGAGCCCACCAGTAGAAGCAACTTTGGGGCCATGAGATAATTTTCTTTAGCTTTACCTGCCTATAGCTTTGTTCTCAGCTTCTCTGGGATAGTAACTGCATCACAAATGCTGTTTCTGAGCAAGTTAGCACGAAGGAGAGGACAGCTAGATTTTGCCAGGTTTAGACACCATTCAAGGTTGTGGGCTCTAACTTTGAAGCTGAACTTGAGATGCTCTTGGTTCAAGTTGCAGTAAGTGCTAGCAAAAAAAGAAAAAAAGTGACCTCCTGGTTCAAGAATAAAGGCTCTAGGGGGTTCCTCACTATCAGGTAGCTCTTATAAAACCTGATTCTGATGACGCAAGTGTAAGGGAATCTGAGACTGACAGATTGAATGTCTCTTGAAATAAATGGGGGGAGGGGGGTTCAAGTTGAAAGAGAAGAGTACTTAGTAGAATGCATTTTGGGTCCCACTCAATCCAAATATTTGAAAATTAATTGGGAGACATTTTGCTGATCACTGAATATAGCCAAGGTCTTTTCTCCTCCTCATTCCTAAATAAAGAGACTTAAAATGTTTTATTAAGCACTCTGAGGCCAATCCCCTTATTTTAGAGTGTCTCCTACTCTACCCTCTTTGGTAATATCATCTTTCACAGTAAATATTATCTAGCTGTGTGAAGGAGGGGATGGTAGAAGAAAACATCCCTCCCATACCTAGTACTAGCCAAGACAGGAATACTCCTCAAGAGAACATGAATTGAAGGGGTAGCTTCCTAGCAGTACTCTCCTGATCCAAAATCTTTATCTCTAACAAGTTATATGGATTGGATTGAGAATATGGCTTTATTTTTCATGGGTCCAGAATTCTTTTATTCATAAATGACTCCTGAACAGGTTTGTAAATAGAAAGTTTTATGATACTTGTCAATACTCTCCCACCCACCACCCCAAAGAAGAAGAGGAGAGACTGGTAGCAGAAACCTGTGTTTGACTAGAAGTGGTAGGTATGGCCTCCATCAGGTACTTTGGAGTGCTCACCTCCTTACTGATGAGCTAAGAGGCAATTTGAGCGATTTGAATTGTTATGTGTCTGTTCTCTGCTGAAGGATAGAGCAATAGGAAAGCCTAGGGATAAGAGGCGAGAGACAGAGAGAGAGAGAGAGAGAGACAGAGAGACAGAGAGAGAGACAGAGACAGAGAGATAAAAGAGACAGAAAGAGACAGAGAGAGAGAGAAAGAGAGAGAGAGAGAGATCTACCTATATCAGCTAGGTGGCAAGGTGGATAGAGTGACAGACCACCAGGCCTAGAGTCAGGAAGACCTGAGTTAAAATCCAGCCTCATGTACTTCCTAGCTATGTGTCCCTTCATCTACAAAATGAGGATAATAATAGAACCTACCTCTCATGGTTGTAGTGAGAACCAAATGAGATAATAATTGCAAAGCATTTAGCACAGTGCCTGATACATAGTAGGTGCTTAATAAATATTAGTTGTTATATATGTGGATATATTTTATATATAATACTATATATATATATATATATATATATATATATATATTATAATATGCTAATAATTAAAACATTTAATAGCTAACATTTTTTCATTTTTTATCTTTTTTGGGTGAGGCAATTGGGGTTAAGTGACTTGCCCAGGGTCACACATCTAGTAAGTGTAAAGTGTCTGAAGTCAGATTTGAACTCAGGTCCCTGTGACTCCAAGGCCTGAGCTCTATCCACTATGCCACCTAGATGCCCCTACAGCTAACATTTATTAAGTGCCTACTATGTGCTAGGCATTGTGCAAGTATATATACACATACATACACATAATATACATATATCCTATCCTAGCTTAACTATCCTGACTATTCTAAATAAAGTCAGGGAGTCTCATTACTAAACAGGTTGAAGAGTGATAATTTTTATTTTTTAAACAAAAGCAATTCTCAAAGTTCTTTTCAGATTCCTTGTTTGCAAAAAGAGAAGGCTGGTCCCCTAAGGTCTTCTAAAGGTTTCTAAGGGCTTCTAAGGTCCCTTCTAGCTACAAACCTATGATGCTTCTTCATTTTCTAGGGGTTACAGCCTGGATCAGCGGAGGAAACTGATGAAATCATGGATCCTAGAAGCACTGACAAAGTATATATACCCATACATGTAGTTGCATAAATCAGTGTCACATACTGGTATAATAGGGATTGGGATTAGACCTGTAATTTCACTGGTACAGGGAGCTTTAGTGTGAAGAAACTCTACTAATGCGGGTCTATATCTTCTTTAAAATTTATAATTGTCTTAGAGTTGCCTGAGACACTGAGAGGCTGGGTGATTTGCCCCAGGGTCATAGACTGACTATGTGTCAGAGAGGGTCTTCCTGGATGGGAAGCTAGACTTTTATCCACTATGGCTGTCATGTAGCCGCTGTAACATAATTAATATGTCATATTCATGTAGAATTTTACAGTTCACAAAGTACTTTTGTCCTAATAAATATGTAAGATAGGTAGGATAAAATGCTAAATTGTATAATGTAGATATTTAGGGACTAGGATAGACTCTTATAATTGCTTATCATCATCATCATCATCATAATACAGTCAATTCCAAAGCTGAAAAAGGAACTCAGAGACTATAGTTCTATTACCTCATTTTACTAACAAGGAAACTGAGGTACAGAGAAATAAAAAGATATTTCTAAGGTTATGTTGTTGTTTAGTGGTTTCAATTGTGTCCAAATCTTCATGGCTCCATTTGAGGTTTTCTTGGCAAAGATACCGAAGTGGTTTGCCATTCCTTCTCCAGCTCATTTTATAGATGAGGAAACTGAGACAAACAGGGTTCAGTTACTTGCCCAGGGTCATACAGCTAGTAAGTGGCCTTGGGGTCACATTTGAACTCAGGACTTCCTGACTCCAGGCCAGCACTCTATCCACTCTGCCGCCTAGGTGCCCCTTGTCTAAGGTTATATAAGTTACATATGCATACATGTATAACTTATATGTAAGTTAATAGCAGAGCCAGAATTAAAATTCAAGCCTCTTCATTCCCATTCTAGTACCCTTAGTTCATTATTTCCCAGCCACCATAGTACAGAGGTCACAGATTCTGACAAACTTACTGAAAAATAATCAGAAAAAAAATGAAAGAATAGAGAATATTTCTTACTTCAAAAAATCCATTCATTACACACCTCTCAATCAATGCAGATCACAGCCTCGCTATATCTTGGTTAATCACAGATCAAGAGCTAGAAGCAACCTCAGAGGCCAGCTAACCTAACCATCTCGTTTACAGATGAGGAAACTGAGGCACAGAAAAGTTAAGTGACTTGCTCATGGTCACTCAAGTAGTAAACATCCGAAGTAGCATTTGAACACACATCCTCTGATTCCAGAGATGGTCTTCTTTCCACAGTATAATACTGCCTACTGGTTGATTTTCATGAGTTGCTGGGACCAAAACAAAACAAACAAATAAAAATTCACTTCTTGATAGTCACATTTTGGGTGATGAGCTTGCCCAAACTGAGCAAGGCTTGTCCTTGGGTAGCACATACAGAGTCTATCACTGGAACGACATCCAGAGTCTTTCCACCTTAGTAAGATCTGCCAGAGTTTGGATTCTATTTATCATAGATTTTGAGAACTCAGGGTCATCTCTGTTCAATGATGAAGTATTGGGGGGGGGAGCTAGAAAATAAATAATAACAAAATAAACTAACCCAAAACAGTTTCTTTAAACTTCACAGACCAAATCTTATGGCAGTATAATGGCAGTGATCAAACTACCCTCTTAATCTTCTCTGGGCAGCTAGGCAGTAACATTGGACAGACCAGAGTTCAAATCCAGACTCAGATGTTTACTAGCAATGTGACCCTGGGCAAGTCACTTTGTTTGCCTCAGTTTTCTCATCTGCAAAATGAGCTGGAGAGGGAAATAATAAACTACTCCTGTATCTTTGCCAAGAAAACTACAAAAGGGATCATGATGTAATTGAAATGACTGAACAATAAAAGGTCTTCTCTGCAGGCAAAACAATGCTAATTCCTTAACTTTTCTCACAGGACATATTTTCTATTTTCAATCATCTTTGCTTCAATTTTTTTTTAAAAAACACTTAGTCTCTTCTTCTCTGGGATGGGCCTCACCACCACTCCCTCTCCCCACATGTGTACCTCTCCACATACCAAAAAACACTCTCCTCCAATTTACTCATCCACTTCCCAGAACTCTATTCTGATTTCCCTCTGCTCTATACCTCTATTCACCTTCTTTCCTTCTCTTCTTAGCTGGGCCCCCTCCAGAGGAAATTTTTGGCTTTCCTTCTTTCAGGGAATCCAAGTCAATCTGTGCAATAAAAATGGTAATAATAATATAAGTATAATAAAATCCAAAAAGGTTCACTGATATTGTTCCTCCACTAAGCAGATACATCCGAAAAAAATATACACAAAGAAAATAAATATGTGGATCTGCAAGAGGAAATGAAACAAATGTGGAGACTGAGGGACATCAAAGTAAAGCCAGTTATCATGTCAAGGACTGGGATAATTATGTACAAATGAGTTAAACATTTTTTAAAGGAGGAACTCATTGTATATCACCATCAGCTTTGAATGGGACAATTCTGATTACCTGACATGTAACTAGGAGATTTTTCTTTCAATGATAGAGCATTTGGAATCAAACATTTAAAGCCAGAATGAATCTTTGAGACCATCTAGTTAATCGAATCAAGCCCCTTCATTTGACAATTGGGAAAAATGAGGCCCATAAAAGCTATGTAACTTGCCTAGAGTCCCATAGGTTGTACTGACAAAATCAAGATATCTGAACTCAGGTCCCCAACTCCAAAGTCGGTATTCTTTCCACAATACCATGGTGTCTCTAAATATACTTAACTTATTCCTATATTTTTACAAACATAACACAAACCTCAATAGTCTCTCCCCTAGCTGCCATAGTTATTGTTATTATAATTTTAAGGAAAGCTACACTACTTTGACATGACATTTAATTGCTATTTTATTAGGAGTCTTCTGTGAATAGATTGTCCTTTTTCTGTTATGGCTGAAAGGAGACTGAGTGAGGTACACAAAAAAAAAAGATGAAGTGAGGGAAGGGAAAAAGGAATAAGCATTTAAGTGCCTACTGAGTGCTAGGCACTATATTAAGCACTATGCAAATATTAGCTTATTTAATCCTCATAACAGCCTTGTCAAGTAGGTGCTATTCTGATCTTCCTTTTATTATCAGCACATCATTGCATCCACCCCACTCAACAGTCCTAACCCCTCCTTAACCTTTTTATTTCTCCCAATATTATTTTTATAGCCCACCATTTGTATTGTCCTTAGCTTCCCTCACCAGCCTGAGTTAATGTTGAGCTTCAGCACAGTACAGTTTTTAGAGGTCTGAATATTTAGCTAATATTGAGCTAGATGATGGAGCAGATAGCATGGGCCTGGAGTCAGGAAGACACTTTCTAGCTGTGTGACTCTGAGCAAGTCACAAACCTTCTGCTTGCCTCAGTTTCCTCAACTGTAAAATGGGGATAATAATAGCACCTACCTCTTAGGGTTATCAAATGAGATAATATTTGTAAAGTGCTTAGCCTCAGTCTCCTCAACTGTAAAATGGGACAATAACAGCATCTACCTCTCAGGGTTATCAAAGGAGATATTTGTAAAGTGCTTAGTGCCTGGCACATAGTAGGCACTTAAGGAATGTTGGACAGCCAGGTAATACAGTGGATAGAGCACAGGGCCTGAAGTCAGGAAGACCTGAGTTCAAATCTGGTATCACACACTTACTAGCTATGTGACCCTGGGCAAGTCACTTAATAGACCCTGTTTGCCTTGGTTTCCTCATCTGTAAATTGATTTAGAAAAGGAAATGGCAAAGAACTCTAGTATCTTTGCCAAGAAAAGCCCAAATAGGGTCACAAAGAGTCAGAGATGACTGAAATAACTGAACAACAACTACAAAATGAATGTTTGTTCCCTTCCTTCCCTCTCTCTTGTCCTATGTTGTTTTCATCTTCAGTACATACACTTTAAAAAATCTATGTTGGTTCACAAATTCCTATGCCTACCACATCAGTTCCTTATGACAATTCCCATTTTTCATGATTATTGGAATCACTTCCCTTTTTGTCTTCAGAATTTCTTTCGTAAGAGTCTCCCATTCCTCCTACCTTGACTTCCCTGATGCAATGTTAGTTCACAGGATTCTACCATTCTTAATCAGAATCCTTTGAAATACGTTTTCCCAAAGTCCAAGTTGCATATCAGACTATGTCTAAGCTTTCATCTCCTTCTCCATCACAAACTCTAGGGGTTTTCAACATTTACATCCTAGTAACCAGATCCTCCCTTTTAGTGAGAAACAGATTCAGAGTTGAATTTCTCTGCCTTTTTATTGACAAAAATATCATTAAGGCAAGTCAAGAAGTTATTATCTTCTCTGCTTTTTAAGTAAGAGAGAGGTCCAGCAAATATTGTGGAAAACTGATGTCTCTCATCACTAATACATCAGACCTCTATTCCAAGATTGTGATTTCTTTCTAGGACACCTTATCTATTTATCTCTTTTTTTTTTAAATAAAGTATACTGCTGTCCATCACCATATGCTAGTCTTGGGTTTCATTCTACTATGTCTCAGTGGTATCCATGGGGTTAAATTTGCTATCTTATATTAGGAATTTTAGTTCCTCTTGCTTGTGGCCTAAACATTAGGCATTTGTGTAGAAACTTTTGAGGCCATCAGTTTTACTGCTGGTTCTGTCATTCTGTTCATAGATTTTGTCTCCTATGAACTTCCAGACATCTCATTACCTAGCTTGCTTGATGTACATAGGCAGTTTTCTCCCTTTCTCCAATTTATTTTAGTTTAAAGTCTTTTTTTATTATATTTGCAAGATACCAGAGAAACATTATTACCATAATATTTTAGATGCACTCCATACCTGGCCTGTATCTGTCATCTGTCATCAGTATATTTAAGCATGATCCAGGGTTCCAAATCCCATTGTCAGACACCACTTCCTTAACCAGCTGTTTACTTCCCAAATCAAGTTTTCTGTTCTTCCTCCTTTGCCTTCAGTGGGAAGCAGTAAAGAAAACACAATTCCATAATCTTTGGCAAGACTTTGTAGGTTCCTTCTGTAAGCATCATTTGTACTGACAAGAATCACCAGAAGTGGGTGGTAGTCATCCATCTTCATAAGTCTTGGAAGGTTCTTTATAATGTTTTAGCTACATGCCCCAGGAAGACAACAGACTTCTGTAATGTTTTTATCAAGCAGACTGGCTTGACGACCCTAAGCAGGGAGTTACCAAACATCCCCACTCTTCTCTTCTTCCTCTGATCCTTACTGGATGACCTCTCACCTGGTCATTTCTGTTGCTCTACTCATTGTACCATTTCTTTGACATAAAACATCTGTTCTCTCCTCAGAGCACCTAGCTCCCTCTTCTTCAGGGAGACTCTCAAATGTATTTTTTTAGTTCAAAGTATACAGTTGACCTTTTCCTTCCTTTCCTCCTCTGCCTGATGGAACTTCACTCTCCAAACTCCTGACAAGGGTCAATTTTTCCCTCTGTCATTTCAGATCCTTTCACCCCATTGAAGCTTGGCTTCCATTTCTTTAAAAAGAACACATCGTTGTCCCTGATCCCCTGGAGTGTGGAAAGTCATATGAGTTCCTTCACCTTCTCTTTTAGGACAGAGAGAAGCCTATAGTCAGAATGGAGATATTAGTTACTTGGCTATGGTAGAAATACAAACGTTGTGTGTACACTTTAAGACAATGTACTGAAAAATTCTTCCATTCACCATGTTGACTGAGACTCTAAGCATTGTTTTAACTACTCCTGAGTGTTCACACCTTGCCTGTTAGCACCTTACTGAGATATTTAAAGTCGCATTTATCTTGCTTTGCCAACTAATTTTCATTTTCCTTCATTTTGAATACATTCGATTGTGAGCTCCTGGGGGGCAAGGACTGTCTTTTGCCTTCCTTTGTATCCCCAATGCTCAGCACATAGGAAGTGCTTAATAAATGCTTATTGACTGAAAGAAAATCCTGCAGCATGATATAGTGGAAAAAACACTGTTTCTAGAGTCAGCGGGTCTAGATTCAAATGTCACTAGTGATACCCACTATGTGATGTGAACCTGGGCAAATCAGAGCCTCTCTGGGTCTTTTCCTCATACGTGAAATAAAGGAGTTGGCCTAAACAGTCTCAGACATCCCTTTAAACACTAGCTAGATCTATGATCCTTGAATTTCTCCCTTCAGTTCCTTCCTCATTAATCTTCCTTCTTTTCCTTTAATCTGCTCTCACTGATGATAGAAGAAAATATAAATAAGGATTATCAGGAGACAAAAAGAATCTAAGGGTCAAAAATGTAAGAGGATCCCCAAAAGTCAAGATAATGGAAGAAGGAAGAGTTGGATTTATATTTTATGAAGTGGTTATGTTGCCCTATGAGTGATTCAATACCTACTGCTGTTTGGTCATTTTCAGTCATACCCATCTCTTCATGACCCTACTAGGGTTTTCTTGGCAAAGGTACTAGAGTGGTTCACCATTTCCTTCTCCCACTGATTTTACAGATGAGGAAACTGAAGCAAACAGTGTTAAGTGACTTGCCCAAAGTCACACAGCTAATAAGTATCTGACGCCAGATTTGAACTCAGGAAGATGAGTCTTCCTGACTCTAGGCCTGGCAGTCTATCCACTGTGCCACCCAGTTGCATGGCCTAAGTGAATCTATTGGGGGGATGGTAACACAGTGAGAAGTCACTCAGATGGGAAACAGAGAGATGGAATAGCTTGAATTGTTTCATCCATTGAGGAAAACACCTAAACACCACAGAATTATGCTGTTGTTGTTTTTAAGTGGCTGAACTGCTTATAGCACACCCTTTAAAGGATCTCACTGTTCAGCCAATAATGTAGCAATGTACTTGTGAAATTATTGATTTTTAAAGGTACTGATAAATGAGCATAAACTAGAGTTTTATATAGGACGAGGATCACAGGTCCAATGAGGCAGCTAAGTGGCACAGTGATTACAGCACTGGGCCTGGAGTCAGGAAGACCTGAGTTCAAATCTATCCTCAGTCACACATTAGCTATGTAACCCTGGACAAGATACTTAATCTCTGTCTTCATCAGTTTCTTCAATAGTAAAATGTGTATAATAACAGTACCTACCTCACAGGACTTTCTGAGGATCAAAGAAACTAATAATTTTAATGTTTGGCATATAGTAGGTGCTCAACATACGCTTGTATCCTTCCTTATTTCTAAGATCTAGAGCTTAAGCAGAGATTCCCAAAGTGTGAGATACTGTCCCTGGGGGGGTGCTGGAACGATCCAGGGGGGCAGTAGCAGCCTCTGGTACAACTGGGGAGCATTGAATAAAAATAAGGGGGCAATGGAAGTATAAGGAAAGAAAAGATAAGAAAATTTTGATAAACCATTCATACACGTTTCATCTGTTATGTAACAGAGTTAAAGTCATTGTGATTACATTATTTTCCAAATAAACACACAAAATGCAAGTAATAATGGATCAGTTGTCAAGTCCGCCAACAGGTCTTAACAAGCAAATGTTAGCAGGCCAGTGTGTCACGTGTTGTTGGGAAGTCCAGCATGCATTGGCAGGAATATGTGGATGTAATGACTTGATTACAATACCATATTCTACATGATGCAATATTGTGTCATCAAGATTTCAATGCTGGGAAAAATCACAAACACGCAATAAATTATTAAATTTTAAGATGCCTCATTTAAAAAAAAACATTTTATATTTTTTGAAATGAAGCAAATTAAAAAAAAAAATTAAAGGGTTAAAGAAAGTAGATTTCCAGGGCAGCAGCCAGTAATTTTTTTTTTTTTTTAAAGGAGGCAGTAGGCCAAATAAGTTTGGGAACCTCTAGCTTAAAGGAACTGCAGATGCCATAAAATCCAACTTCCTGTTTAGCAGATGAGGAAACGCAATTCTAAGGAAGTTGAGTGATTTGAACTCTGTGCTGGATATGAATCATACTAACAGTATTGGCACCCATGGGCTGCATCTACAACTCACATGTGGAGATTTGGTAATTGCTTAGAAATCTACTCTATAGAGTTAGCCAGCCTGGATAGTTGAGACCTAAGGAATCCATTGAATTTGTGGCTGTGCAGATACAAGTTATTTCTACGTGATATCACCATCTGCAGTCAGTCAAAAGTTCTCCAAGTGGGCACGATACATGAGAGTGGGAGCATAACCACAGCTTTCATTCCAGATGGTAGTTTAACACCTGGTGTCAAACAAGCCAATTGGCTCCAAGAAACAGTGGCCCTATTGAGACACCTTCTGTGTCTTTCCCAAGGGCCAAATGCTGATGAAGCCTCAGAAACAGGCCCCTCCCTCTCTAGATTCTGATGGACGTAAATCTGCTTTTTGATTCTCGACCCACAAAAGAGACTCCGATAAATCAGCTGCCATAAGGAAAGCTTGTCCTCCTGAAAGGGTCTAACCAGAATCAGATTTGCTATGAGCAGAGCAAGCTCACACAGATACGGGAGATGGGAGAGGCCAATTCCCTAAAAACTGAGTCCCAGTAAATTAGCTTTCTACTTTCATACCCTGTGTCTTCACTAAGAGAAACTTCTAGCCGGTATGGCAGGGGGCCATTGTGAATTCTGACCAGCAAAATTCCCAGCATTTCACTGGCCTTTTTAGTTCTCAATATCCTGGCAACCCGTGTACTCACTGGCCACAGCTCTGTGATTTTAGCAGCCAGCCATCCCTCAGTGGGTCTGCCAGTGAGTGAAAACCCCTGATCATCATTCCCTATCTATACACTAAAGCCAAGTCAAGCCCTGAATAATCAGTAGCCTTATCTCTAAATTTTGGCTTCAAGAAATGAGACAGACTAATAAGTGAAACTCCTTCCAGATACAAAAACAAAGAAAAGCAGAAGAAGCCCCTTCTGACTTAAAGAAACAAAACAAAGGCAGAAAAGAAGGTCAAGCAGCAGCTGTATAGTGAAAATACCCCAAGACTTACAGTCGGAAGACCAGATGGCAATCCTAGCTCTGACTCTTACTAGCTGTGCAACCTTGGACAAATCATTTCACCTCTCTGGACCTCAATTTCCTGATCTGTAAATAAAGATAATAATAACCACACCAGAGGAATCAAAATACCTCTGTTCAAATCCGGGTTCTGCCTCTCCCTCCCCATATGTGTTTGGGCAAATCACTTACCCAATCTGGGCTTAACCCAACTGTAAAATCAGGGGACTGGACAAAGGGACATCTAAGGTCCCTTTCAGCCCTAAATCTACAATCTTCTGGTCCTAGGAACTGCCTTATAGGGCTGCAGCAAGGACCAAATGAGATATCTGAAAAGCATTTTTCTAAGCCATAAATGTCAATGAGATGGCCCAATTAGATGCATGCATGAGAACAAAACCGGATGAATTGCCTCATCAATCTTAACAGGCAATTTATCAAACCATTTGATTCGGCAAAATGCCCCCACTTTTGAACACCAAAGGGTGGATTTGGTTGCCCCATGGCAAACTGGGATGACCAATGGATTTTTTCTTCTCCAGGGGAAAAGAAATCACTATGTTATAGACCCAGGCAGAGATACCACCTCCATCCCTTTCATCTCCCACTGGCCAGAAAATGATACCCTTTTCTTGAGGATGAAGAGCTTACTTCTCTGACTTAGCCGGACCATCTCCTTGCCTGCCTGGACAGTATTTAGTGAGTCTAATTAGCAGGAGGAGAAGGACTGAGAAGCTTCAACAATGAGTCATACAGAATAGAAGGACGCCTGTTTAGTGCCCCACATGGCTCCAAAGGGCCATTCAGAGAAGCAGACGTTGTTACTGAAGGACCGATCCCACACTGATGTGCATGCAGGCCCCTTTCGAGATCAGTGATCCATGCAGCTCCAGCGGTAATGGGATCAGATCCTTAATGCCGAAAACCTGCACCTGTTAGGCCCAGAACAATGAGTCATTCTGAAGTCGGCGGCTGCTCCAACTTGCTCTTTTCCAGATCGGTGAAAAGAATCTTTCCCTTTCTCTCAGAACTTGGTGATCACTAGGCAAAGTACTCTGACGCTATTTGCAAAACAGCCTACAAGCTGTGAAAATGATGCTATTACAGATGTAATGCCACAGACCCGCTAGCCTCCCATTTGGAGAATAATAGGCGGTAATCATATCTTCTTTCCATTTCAGTGGGATGTAAATTAAACACATGTGAATGCACTGCGTGGGGGTGTGCATGAATACACACACACACACACACACACACACACAATGGATTTTTAATAGATGGTATATGAATCGATAGAGTCAGTATAATAAACAAAAGCCCTGAACTAGGAGCTTGAAGGCTTAGATTTGAATCTTATTTCTACATGGAAAGTGCTTTGCAAACTTTAGAGTACTATATAAAGATCATCTACTACTATTTTTGTTACCACCATGCATTACTTATGTGACTTTAGACAACTCATTCAATTTCTCTTAATTTCTCCATATAGAAAGAAAGGAAACTGGGGTCAATGATCACTAGGATTTAACTCTGTCATTTTACTCAATTATTTTATACAGCAAAGGTTCTTAACTTTTGGGGTGTCATGGACCCCTTTGGCAGTCTGCTGATGCCTATGTGACCCTTCTCAGAATGATGTTTCTAAATGCATAAATAAAACATATTGGATTATAAATGAAATAAATTATATTGAAATGCATTTATCAAAATGTATGCATGTGCACGTTTAAGTTCATGGGCCCCAGGTTAAGAATGCCTGGTACTGAATAAGATCTAAAGAGGTCATTTCTTTCATCCTAATCCTTCCAGGCAGAATTGCATCCATCTTTTGAGTCCTAAGACCATATATTTAGAGCTAAAAGGGATCTTAGAGTAGATTTTTAACACACAATATATGAGGTTATCTAGTCCTATCATTTTCTTCTCTATTCTTCTTTCTTCTAAAAAAAAAAAAAAGACTGAGGTTCCTTATGTTCCCAGGCTAGAAGTGGAGGGGGCTATTCACATTGTTTAATGTGTTCCACTCCTAACCTGGGGCAGTTCCATCCTGCTTTGCTCCCTGGGGACTCATCATATCAATGCCAAACTTGGTATGGACATCAGATCATCACTGCAAATTGCAAGACTTTTGACCCACTAGCCTCAGCCTCCCCAGTAGTATGGATTATATGTGCTACCAGCTTTCTTTCTTTCTCTTTTTTTCCAAACCAAAATATGGACACTAAGGCTCAGAAAAGTTGTAAGTTTCCCAGTCATTCATATAGGAAGTAGCTAAGCCAGAATCTGACCCTAGATCTTTTAGCTTCAAAGCTAGAATTTTTTTCTTTCATTTTGTGTGTGTGTGTGTTTTCAATTGTCTTTTTAATATGAATTTAATAAATATCCATATGAACATTTCAGTATAAAAAGGGGAGAAGGAGATTGTATATGAATCTGTAAATTTCTGTTATATACATCTTTCAGCTTGAGGCTTCTTTGTATAATTCAAATTTAAGTTATTCTGATAATGCTCTGCTCATCTGTCCCTTTCTGAACATGCTTCTGCTCTTTCCTGCTTGATTTTTTTTCATGATTCATCTCTTTTTTCTTTCCTTTTTTTTTTGTTGGCATTAGTATCACTGTTCCCACTCCCTCCTAACACTTCCCACTTTAAAAAAATGCAGGGAAAATGTAATAAATAAGCATAGTCATGCAAAACATATGTATACATTGGCTGTGTCTGAAAACTCATGTCTCATTCTGCATCTCTAGCCCATCACATTTCTGCCAAGAGGTGGGCAGTAGGAGTCATTACCCATTTCTGGATTTGTAATTGCTCAGTTTTGACCTTAGCTCTTCAGTCTTTCACAATGGCTTTTCGTTAGTGCTGCCACTATGGTATAAGCTGTTCTGGTTCTACTCCTTTTACTCTGCTTCAGTTCATACAAGTCCTCCTAGGTTTCTCTGAATCTGGCCCTTTTGTCATTTCTTATAATGCAAGAATATTCCATTCCATGATTTCCTCAGCCATTCCCCAATTGATAGGCACCCACTTTGTTTCTAGTTTTTTGCCACAGCAAAATGTGCTGCTATGAATATTTGACATATATGTGTGTTTATATGTATTATGCATGTATATACAGATATATGCATATGTGTATTGTGTATATATTCGATATTGAGTTGTTTCGGCCCTATCTGACTCTTTGTGACCCCATTTGGATTTTCTTGGCAAAGATACTGAGTCATTTGCCATTTCCTTCCCCAGTTCATGAGGAACGGAGGCAAACTGGGGGGTTAAGTGACTTGCCCAGGGTCACACAGCTAGTAAGTATCTGAGGCAGGATTTGAACTCACAAAGATGAGTCTTCCTGACTCCAGTCCTAGCACTCTATCCACTGTGCCACCTAGTTGCTGATATATATAGATAGATATATATACACACACACATATGTATATATGCACACATATATGTGTGTGCATGTATATAGATATGCATATATAAATATATATGCCATGTGTGTACATATGTGTGCACGTGTGTGTGTATCCACAAGACCTCTTTGCACAGTTATCATGTCGCCTCTCTAACCTAATTCCTTGCTTTTAGGCAGATAAATGCGGAAACCTTCCAACCCAAATGCCTGAATAAGTGGTTCCACAACATCCTTCCATAAGCTGCTTCAACACAGTGGTCACCCTCCAAACCAAGACTTTTTTTTAATGTTTAACTGAAATATCTCACTATAATTTAATGCCACATTTTCTTGTTCTATCTAATATGGAGAAGATTTGCATTCTCCCCATAATCACAGAATTTGTTAGTCAATAAATATTTATTAAGCACTTTCTATGGACCGGGCACTGGGATACAAAAAGAAGCAAAAATGGTTCCCACCCTCAAGGAACACATAGGCTAATGGGGGAAACAAGCAAACAAGTACGTACAAACAAACTACACGCAAGATAAATAGGAAATAATTAAGAAAGGGAAAGCCCAAGAGTTAAGAGGAAGTGGGGAAGGCTTCCTGTTGAAGATGAAATCATAGGCCTTAGAGCTAGAAGGGACCTTATAGATCACGTGATACAACTCCAAATGTACAGAGAAGGAAATTAAGGTCCAGAGAGGGTGACAACCTCAAAGTCACATAGCTACTAAGGGCAAACCCAGGATTCAAGCCCGGGTCCTTTGGCTCTAAATCTCCAGTACAAATATACTTTATAGATACGAATAGTTTTAGCTTTCAAATTTTTCTTCTCCAAGCTTGACTGGAGATTGATTAATCATAGGACCTATTTTTCATCCTTTTAATGATTTTTGATGGTTCTCCAAACCTTCTGCAGCTTCACAGGGATCAGATCTGAAAACAATACTCTAATGATCAATATTGAATGAGTACATAATGGAAGAATCCCAGACAGGATGAAAAAGTATTTGATTTCCAGCAGCCTCCAAAAAAAGTAAGGAAATTCTTCAGCCTCCTTCCAGTGTGAAACAAACTTTATTATTATACAATTATTTTTCATTCTTAATTTAAATCCTTTGACCCTGCTATTTAAGCAGGTGCTTTCTTGTTCAGACTCCCATAAAATGGAGGCCTATGGCCCTCCTCATAAATCACACCCTTTCAAAGATGAGAAGAGCCATAGGGACTTTAACCTTCTCTACTTCAGGACAAATAATCCCAAATTAATCATTCTAATCAGTTGCTTCCTCCCCATAGAAGCTTAAGCAAGTGAGTAAGCAGAAATTAAAACCCCTGGGAGGGTTCCAGAATTTACCTAGACAGGATTCCTGCTTTTTTGTATTTCTATTTTTCATACAGAATACTAGAATTTTTGTTGACTTAAAGACTTAAAGGCCATATTGGGTAGGAAGCATGGTACAGAAGGATGAGCACTGATTACCCAATCAGAGGACCTTGGTTTCACTCCTCCCTTTACCATCTACTACCTGTGTGACTTTGGAAAAGATCTTAAATCTCTCTGTGCCTCTTGCCTCATCTGTAAGAATGAGGGGAGATGGCCTATCTGACCCTTTATGGTTCTAGATCTAGGATCCTATGATCTCCCGACCCCTCCAAATTAGTCAGATCCATTTAGCAACCACTAATATCTTCATAAAATGTAAACTGACTCATTTTTCCCTTTTCCACTCATTGCTCTGGCATCAGGTAGGCCCAATATCTTCTTTTTCATACCACTATTTTTTAAAACAAACTGAAGATAAAGCAAGTGGTGGTATCTAATATTTAGGTAGAGATGTTAATTATCACTATGTCCCTATGAAATAATGTCAGGTTAGTGGTATTTCTCCCCCTTTTTACAGACATATCAGAAGGAAATCCTGTGTTGAGATTCCCCCATGCTAATGACATGTAGGAAATAATTAGCCATAGCTTAAGATATTAAGGTTGTACTTTTATGACCACATCAGATGCATTATAAAACTATTGGAGAATTATTTAGTTATACAACTGGAGCCTGAAGAGAAAGTATAAAAGCAAAAAGGGAGGATGTTAGATTAGGGTGAGATGGCCAAGTGCCCACATTTCAGAGGAATTATCTCATTTGGGAAATAAGGCTTCCATAATATTTGAGTAGATCTTTGGGGAGAGTGGGCTCAAACTCAATAAGCAAATGCAGTCAAAGGGTAAACTGACAGCTTCTGGTTACCTGAGTCCTTTTCTCCCTTTAAGGAATCAAATTCTCTTTCAGTGTTGCTCTCTGTTGATGTCCTTCTAGATTTCCAACGCTGCCATTCCTCCTGTATGTCTAGTTTGTCCCTGATGCATCTGTCTCTCAGCTCCTCATGCAGCTGTTGCTGCTTTAATGAGATTGCTACTGGCTTTGGTGGATACCGCTAAGGACGCTGGATGAGATTTTCCAAAGTTCACAAGATAGTTGACTACCTGGTCAATTAGAAGGGTTGGGGAGAAGAAAGGAGGGAAGAGGCAGAAGAAAAAAAAAAGAAAGAAAATGATTTTCTCTCCCCAAAGACAAGTCCTTCTCAGGATTCCATCACTTGTGGATTCTATCACCATCTCTGACTGGCCTGCTTCTGGAAAGCATAACTCCAAGCTGGCCTACCTGGTTTTACACAGGCCCAAAGGTTGGTTTGATTCTTTCAACCTATCACAATATATTTCCTGTGCAGTATCATCTGTTTGTTCCAATGACCCTTCCAAATTGATTTGTACATATTGATTGATGGATTAAGGACATATTCACATCTAGTTTTATTAATTGATTGAATCAAGATGCCTGGGCCTTCTGGGATTATATTAATTGGGGTGGCGCAATGTACTTCTTCTTGTAGCTTTTTTTTAATCTGTGAATGTGTTGGAAGTGCTTAGTATTGAAGTAGGACCAGGAAGACCTCAGTTCAAATCCAGCTTCAAGTGCTTACAGGCTGTCTGATTCCAAAATTTTGTCTTTTGAATTTGCTTCCATCTCTTGTTTTTGGTTAAAAGTACATCTCCTACCCATAGCTGAGTAGGTATATGATCTGCTTCTCTTCTAATTTTCTAATAGTATAATCTTTAATATTAAAGTCACATATCCATTTATTACATATTGTGGAATACAGTGTAAGGAATTGGTCTTAGCCTAAATTTCTGCCAGATTACTTTCCAGTTTTCCCAACAGTTTTTATGAAATAGAGAGTTCTTTCCTAAGTAATTTATGTTTTTTGGTCTATTGAACACTAGGTTATTGAGTTCCATTGTTTCTGATTCTACCTTATCTAGTCTGTTCCATTGTTCTGTCTCTTTGCTTTTTAATCAATATCACATGATTTTGATGGCTGCTGCTTTATAATTTAGTTTGAGGTCTATTGAAGTGCTATTCCCTCTTCATCCATACCTCTTTTCATCATTTCCTTTGATTTCCTAGATCTTTTATTTTTTCCAAATGAATTTTTTTTTACTATTTTATAAATTTCTGTCAAGAATCACTTTTATAATTTGACTGGCATAGCATTAAAATTATAAATTAACTTGGTAGTAGTATCTTTGGCCCAACCCAGTCATGAGCACTGAATATTCTTCCATTTATTTGTTCTCCATTTCTTTAAAGAACACTTTGTTACTGATTCTATACAAGTCTCTTGCATGTTTTGGTAGATTTGATTCCACAGAGATTTTATGCATTTTGTGATTATTTGGAATGAGACACATAGATTACTTCTAAAAACAAAATGTGTCAGGAGAACAAGGCCATCAACTATTCAATTCAATCCACTTCAACAAATATTTGTTATGTACCCATTGTGTGCAGATCATCGTATTAGGGAGTAAGGAAGATAAAAAAAAATTAAATAACTCTTGGAGCTTATTGTCTTATGGAGGGAAATGACAATCTGATGAAATTAAAACAATCAGTTAGACATCTGGATGTTTTGCCTTAATGATGCCAAATATCTGGATGTTCCCTGAACTCAGATATTAGGAAACATGTTGATCCATCCTCTTTCACTATCTGTTTTTCCATTGACCATGTAGCTATTGTTATCATTGTTATTAATAATAATAGCCCATATTTATGCAGCTCTGTACAAAGTGTTTTATAGATGTTATTTTGTTTAATCTGAACAACAGCCCTGTAAAAGTAGGTAGCAGAGTGTAGTAGAAAGAGCATCAGCCTAGGAATCCAAAGACCTAAGTCAGAATCCCAGTTCCATCATCTCCTAGGACCATGACCTTGGGAAAGTAACAACCTCACTATACCTCAGCATCCTCACTATTAAATAAAAATATGTAGTGAGTGCTTGCTGGCTCTCTCTCTTTCTCTCTCCTTGAGCCAGGTAGGCTACATCTGGCTCTTAAGGTATTAGGAGATAACCCTGAGGGTTTGAGATATCTCTCCACTACTTGACCATCATCTTGAGCCCATGCCAGCTCCATTTCTCTCCCATTTTTAAGTGAATAGCAATATACTAGCTGTACAACCCATACTCTGGAATGTGAGGATGCCAAGGGAGATTCTACTCCTCCTATACCAGGGATGATTAATGCTGCATTGGCTACAAACTCAACCCTGGAACAATGGGATGCTAAGATGCTCTGAGGACTTTTTGAACTCACATTATCAGAGACTCCACTCATTTCTGTCACTGTGGTATCAAGAGCACTGAGGTAACAAGGTAGAGGTTGAAGCCCACAGGAATCTTCAGCAAATCAGAATCTCTTCTTCAACATATGATTAGACTAGAATGTCCAAACAGGCTTCACAGTCTCTCCTAGGCACCACCTGAAGTAGTCTGTACATATCAGGCCCCCCTGATGGAAAATAATACTCGCATAAGGACAAAAGGCTTGTTGGATTATATTGAATTGGATTGGATTGAATCAGATTCTATTTCAACAGGGTCTCGTATTCCGATGCACCCATCTTGCCCCATGCTTATAAATTTGGCACATTAGTCTCCCCTGTAGAATGAGGGAGTTGAACCAGATAGTCTCCAAAGTGCCTTCCGTCTCTAAATCTATGACTCTTTGATCCTACGATAGGCAGAGTGATGGAGTGACTAGAACTCTGACTTCTAAGGCAAGAAGACCCTGGTTCGGGCCTCACCTCTGACAAATACTGGGCAAATCATTTAACTTTGGTGCCCAGACAACTCCTTTGGACTATAAGTCAGAGAGCAAGTGCTGATTTGCATTGGAAAAAAGAGTTTCATCACTAGAAGTCCTGCTATCTCCTCTGGCATTGTTCTCCATAAGCATATTTCACTGAATTTGCCCAAGGCACACATAGCTACAATTAATTATGGCTCTGCCTTTGCATTACCCTTGCCTCTTACCTCCTACATCCAATCTGCATCCAGTCCTGTCAATCAGAACTGTAGAAGGGATGTGATTTCACATCACTGCCCCTCACACACTATGTACTAGACAAACTAGCCTACGTGGTGCTCCTCAAACGTGACATCCATTTTAGTTTGTCTTGATCCTTTACTGCAAACTCCATAAGAACAAGGACTACAGCTTATTTCGTCTTTGTTTTCTCTGCCTCCCAATCAGCACAGAATACCTCACATAATGGATATTAATTAACCTTTATCGAATGAATGTTTATTCCCATTTTTGAGGTAGAAAAACTAAGGCTTAGCATGATGAAGAGAATATGCCCAAGGTCACACAGATGGTAACTGGCAGATGCAGGTCTGAAACCTGAATTTTCTGATTCTAAGTCCTATGAACCTTCCACCATATCACATTGCCTGTGAAAAAAAAAAAAAACCTTGCATCTCTCCCTCTCTCTCTCTCTCTCTTTCTCTCCCTCTCTCCTTCCGTCTGTCTCTCTCTCTCTTTCTGTCTCTGTGTCTCTATGTCTCTGTTTCTCTCTGTCTCTTTCTGTCTCTGCGTCTTTCTGTTGCTCTCTCTCCTCCCCAGGGGCAAGAAAGCAGTTGGCTATTTCCAGAGGAGACACCAGGCTAAAAGGGTCCACTTCTCATCATTGGAGCAGACTGTTTCATGATTGCCTCTTTTAGTCGAAGAGATGATTGAAGACCGATAACTTTTTACTTACTTGGCAAAGCATAAATCCTTCACAGAGGGGATCTATTGTCAGGCCATCTTGACCACTTCAAAAGCCTAGTACTGTACCTGCAATTGAATGCTGCTTAGTGTATGTGAAATGATAGGTGAGCACTGAGGTGGTGAGTGAACCTTTCCAGCCCTTCATTGGTTGCCCTGTCCCTGCTGGGAGAAAATGAGTCTCTGCTTTGGATCAAGAGAAACACAATTACCTTCTTATCCATTTTCAAACAGCCTCTTTCCTTGCAAATCTTTCCTAATAAGAATAGCTTATCTTTATTTACCAGGTAGCCCTTGTCGCCTTTGAGATGCCAGAAGGCCCAAAAAGGGAAGCAGGGAGAATGAGTATTTTCTATAAAATCACAAGGAGACATAAACACATAAAGGTGTCCTTCTCCTAAGAGGACACTGACTTGTTATAGGTCAGTTCAGGGTTGGCTTTTTTCTCTTCTTTTTTTAAGTGAACTCTGTTCTACTTAGGACTAAGACGAGTTGCTAGGCAGAGAATTCAACCTCTGTGTTCTATTTCTCCTTCTATAACCTGGAAAGATAATAGATTCTGAGGGTTCCAAGGGTTTAAAGGTCATCAAGTCCAGCCCCTGCCTTTGGGCAGGATTACCCCTATAAACTGTTCTGAAAATCTCAGCTAAAAAGGGATTACACAAATAGAATGTTGTTTATGAACGAGTGGGAAAAGACAAAGTTCAGACATTAAGACTTTCTTTGTCTTATAAAATGCCTGATGACTTTCATACCCTTTTACTATCCCCAACACCAGGTTTACAGTCCCCATTCAAAACAGCTGGCCATCCATACTTTACTTAATCAGTTCTTTGAAGTGACCCAGATTGCATTTCAGAATGCTCTGGAATGCATAAACTGTAGACATGTGTAAAAGTATATTAAAGGGTGTAGCAAGTTAAGACCAATAGTCTGTAGGTCTGTATGGTTGGTATAATTTTAAAAAGAGAAGAGTCTGGTTTGGGTCTGTTTCAGTTCTTTTATCAAGAGAGGCAAACTCCACCATAATGTGGAATCACATTCTCTCCACCGTAATTCCTTCTGGTGTTATGGTATGCATTAGACATTTAATAGATGCTTTTTCATCCAACGTAATAACATTCACTTTGTGAACCAAAAGAACAGCCATTTTCCCAGACTGACGTTGTTGTTGTTTTTTAATCTCATGTGAATCGTTTCTATGTTTACAGGTGTATGGGTAAAATCTGATCACAGAGAGATAAGTCTCTGCCTTGTTGCCCTTTGTTCTAAGCGGACTTGACAACATCAAGAAAATATGGAACAGGATTTGACAAGAAATCATCTCTCC